AACGCTGTTTATACACGTCACATCAGCGATGTCCGCTTTCGTTCTGAACAAGGAATAGTCTACTACTATCATGGAACGAAGATCCCCAATAAAAATGACGTTCGACCGAGAGGAGTTTCATACTGCTACGGTATTGAATGTGTTCGGTATGGCATGCAGTGGCCCCTTTGTTGCCATACTCATTCTCGCAAGCGGTGATGGTTGTCGCTGCAGCGTCACCGTCAGCCTTGGCTGCATAGGCGTCCATCACAGCGATATTGAGCAGCTCGTTGATGGTGTCCTCCATGCTCGAATGATAAACATCCTCTCGGTCGGGCATAACCCGAGTGGCATACTGAGACGACGATGAGCGCATTCAACTGTGAGACGACTCACTTCTCTGCAGTTGTCAACGAACTCCTCCTCACCCAGACCGTTGCCGAACATCTTCTCCGCTTCCTCCTTCGAGTAGAGCACCCTCAAGTGCTCAGCTTCAATCCACTGCATCAGCGCCTTCTGTGTTGACAAATCTATGTGGGGTGTCCGAGTGAGCAACATTATTCTCTACATTCTACTCTATTATTCTTCTACCTCTAACGCTTTTTCCTATATACCTGTCTCCGCCCAGGGCCTTCAACTTATATTCTATCACCTGAGGGCTCAGTGCTTCAGAGTCACCAATCGAATCAGTGATGAATATGTGAGCGACTCTACTGAAGCTGTCATCCGCTCACTCGCACTGAATCTCTGTTTTTTTACTTGAGAGGATGCTGCCCTGAGAGAATCCAATACAGATGCCAAGGAAACGCAACGGTCACCTGTTGGAGTCCTCCGAACTCTTCTCGCTTCGTGTTTCTCGCTTCTGAAGCAGACCAATCATAGACTACCCCCAGTGATAGTAGCTTTTTACTTCTTTTGCAGGAGAAGTACGACGACTGGTAGGCTTCCATTGAGTCATGACGACACAAAACACAACTGTACAAATCTGTATGTGTACCAAATACGAAAGAACTAACGACAGCATCGCTCGAGTCGTTGCCGGAAAGACTCGCAGCAGCAACACCCCATTTTTGGTACTCACTAACTTATGATGGCAATATTGTGTGACGCAAACCAGATATGTACTGAAACTTTTCGAGAAACACAGTGTCATGCAGGGCCGTATTTTCGCTCGTCTTCTCTGGCCTTCACAAAGAGGTCGTAAAAGCCCATTACACGTTGGTTAATTCGGCCCGATCGCTCGAACGCCCTGAATGACACGGTCATAGGAGTGACGAGAATGCTAAGCTTGGTATCATGGAAATAAAGGCAGCGAAAACTCCCGTACCATACTGTAGTTCGCAAACTAATGTGTGCTTGAGAAGGGTTCGCTACGAGTCGCATTCCCACCTTTTGAACCGATGAAGATCGCGTAGCTGCAGGCTGATACCTCTCCTCTCAAACAGTACGGCTGACAAGTAATCTACCAACCCAAACGCTGGGCGAAGGCTACCTAGTCGTTTCCAAGCATTAAGGTCGTCGATGGATGCCTTAGCGAATATCTCCGCAAGCTCGACTCCCGTCTCGGCCTTCATGTTGAGACCCCTTTTATCAACGAAGTGAATGAGCTGGTAAATCACTCGAGGATCTAATGCATCCAGGGCAGTCGCAGCTCCTGAGCGAGAAAAGGTGATTTAGAAGACAAGCGGCTTGCCACAAACCAACGACGACGTCGATTGTGGTGCACCCAAAAATCGTTCATTCACTCACTTGCGATGCTAAGGCACATGAACTGATTAAATGCAATATCCAACCGCAGTCGGCGGCTCTGCTCTTGGAGGAACTCGATCCATTCTCGCTTGATGTGCCTAATAAGCCAGCAAGTTTCAGGGAAGTGCTCAGTTGAACTGAGAGAAATCG